GGGGAGTCGACACATAGCCGCTCCTAGTATGGTCGGGGTCCTACACTACAGCGCTAAGAACCAGTAGCGCATAATTCAGTTCACTTGACCGAAAATGATATCACGGATAGAACGACCGAATTCTTGTTCATTTTTCTCACGCTGACTGAAAGAGATTAACGCACGCGCGTGCTCACATTATTGTCAGTCTGAGGGCAACGACCCCTCCTCCTTGTTGGACTAGGTCGTGGATTCGTTGCTAGTTGTCTTTTAACCTCGGGAAGCGTTGATGAGGTTCCACTCAAGTTCGAGAACGCTTTACTATTGTCCGTGGAGCATCGGCCCTAGAAACAACAAAGAATTCCATGGCGCACAATTTGCGCCGATATAACATTTATCGTGAACTGAGATGAGGTATGGATCAAGAGGATCGCGAGTCACGCTTCCCCTACATAATAGCACTGTAGAGAATGATTGCAGTGACGGTGAGCTGAGCTTTGCATGTAGTTCTCAGTACAAAGCTCTTAATACTATTAAGTTAATAGATAGGTGGCCTATCATAGGTCCGTGAATCATCTGCATACGTGCACATGAGATCCGCACGCATTCACTGAGTGACGAAAAATCGACGAGTGGAATTCACGCGAGATTTTTCATACAGTATAACGATGGACAGGTACTACACCTTTCCCCATGCAAGTTCGAAAGATATGCAGGCAACTATGTCAGTGCCACATCCGAAAATAACAATACGTATTCATGTTCGACACGAATGGGAAATGTCAGGTACGAGTTTGACAATATGCATTCATCTCTGACACACCCTTGATTTATCGAGTCCAAGCTTGATAGTACGCATCCAACTTTGGCACACCCTTGATTTATCGTGTATCACTATGTCCAAGATTGACAATATCTCATCCAAGATTGACAATACGCACGCAAGATTGACACTGCGAAGCTCGCAGTGCGAACAAATATAGATGGGCAGCGTGACGTTTTTTACAGTGTGGTTTGATAGATGGTCCGATAGTGGGCCTCACCCACAGGTTGTATGCGTCATCTGTCTCTTTGTCTATTTCTGATCGCTTGGGCGCTTACTAAACGCCGCTTAGTGTGCTTGCGTGCAATCATGTGCACGCGTACTTTGCTCGGGCCGAGCAATGGCCAGTCTTTTACTCGTACAACCTAAATCTGAGTCGTGATAGACTCTATCGCCATCAGATTTATGCCTTAGTAGTCAGTTATTGACCTCGAGACTTAATGGTATCTCCTGTGAGTCGCGTTCATGAGGCGGAGCCCGGTCAAACTCTCACAACGGTTTACGTTACGGACTGCGTAACGTAGGCAGCTTACGGTTACGGTAAGGCCTTACGACTTTACTAGTGGTGCTGGACTGCTTTTTTAGGATTGTGGCGAAAACATTCACTGTATTGCACTCCACGATATAGATGGGCAGCGTAACGTTTTTTTACGGTTTACGTTACGGCGCTCAGTGCTGCCGGTAGCAAGCTCAAGAGCGGATTGCACGGCAGCTGAGAGCGTGTTGCTGTCGAGCTCGCGACCATTCAGATCTACACTGATGACGGTCGCCTTTGCCCTGAAGTGCAACCATGTTTGCCTGCTCTCTCCAAGTCATCGGAGATTAGAGCTGTTGAATCTCGTGAATACGCTGCGGTAAAAGCAACGTAACGAATGCGATGTGATAGTCACTCAACAAGCCGAGCCCGTTCAGCACGGGGATTCTTGATGGTGACTGACAGTCACTGACTGTCACCATCAAGAATTCCCGACTACTACTTGGGCTTCTTGATCGCCTTTTGATGGAATCTATTGTGCATCATATCCAGTACTTCCTCCATATCTTTCCTCACAGCTAGCTCCTCAGAATCGAGCTCGCTATCGTCAACAACAAAGCGATTGCTTCCACTCAATGCTGCCCAGCGGAGGTACTCTACGATTGCCGTGTCCTGTGTGGTAGTCGCGAGAGCTGCCTCAATGATCGAATCCTCGTTGCTGGCGTAAGTCTTACCCCATATTGACATAACAACTCGGCCGACGTGTTGAGAGAGCTTGAAGAAGCCAGGGGTAGGGCGAGCCATAGTTACGATTTCCGAGTACAGATCATTGGTGTAGACCCCTCGTGTGAGATCTACCTCTCTCGCTGAAGGTGCTCGCTTCCATCTCAAACCGTGATCGGCGATGTAGTTGATGTCGACAAAGTCGGCGGAGTCAGCTATAATACCTAGCCAGACACGTCGGTATTTGCTCCTGCTTTTCGGCTCAAGGACAAGGCTCCGATGCCCACTGGCCCAGGGATTGTTGATGCTGATACGCTCTTCGATGGTGAACAGTGTCACCGGAGATACGCTGATTATTCGAATCTCATCAACAGCAGTCGCATCAGCTGGCACGTCAAGCTGCGACCGAGTCATCCCAACCAACAGCGACTGGGCTATCATGTCGATACGGCTCTGTAATGGAC